GCGAGAGGGAAGCTCTGTGCCCACGTGCCGCTCCGTTCCCAGCTGAACGGCGTCTGGTCCGTCCAGGTGCCAGGTTGTACTCCTGCAGAGCACTGACCTGCTGCTGCCGGCCCAGCTGATACCCACCAGTTCCAGCTGGGAACTGGTGCCAGTGCTAGCAGAGAGCTAGTCTGAACCGGGCTCCCTTCAGCACCACAGATACCGGTGTTCTGCGCCCTGGCCTACATGGCCGAAACCAGATTCATGCTTTCTCTGTCGCACTCGTGCTGTCAAGTGCAGTTCTGTCTGCTGAATCATTTCATACCTTGGAGCAATTCTGGATCCAAACGAGAGTTAAAATAAAGCTGGTTTGATTCCTTCACATCAATTCGTTTTTTTGTGGGGAAGACCTGAAGCCGGGAAAGCTGATGGCTGGAGGTCTGTCCAAGAAAGTGATAAAAGTAATAACATACTGTATTTTAACTTCCAGAACGCTGCATTTAGTTACAACATTTCCGTCTCCAAGTGAAATACCTATACGGCATCTTTATGTTTGCACAAGTCCATGTAAAATGGGACCGTGCAGTTCGTTCAGCTTGGACCTGTGGCTGGTGGTCTTGACTGATTCCATGTTACTGTACAGTAAGTGCCCAGAGGCTCAAGCTAGGTCCTGTGTCGTAATTCAGAGGTGAGATTTAAAGTTGCCTGATGTGAGATAAACCGGTCCAGGAGTTGGTTAACTCAGCCTGTTTATGTTTTTGGGTGCATCCATGCCCTCACATGCGGGATTCTATTATCTCCAAGCAGATTCTGGTAAGGGAGTGGTAGGCATGTTCTGCTTTCTTCTGAAAGGTTTCCTTCCCAACTCTCTCACTTTCCTTCCTTACCTCCTTCCCTTGATTGAATACCGAAACATTTTGGGTTTAGAAACTTAAGTTTTTAAGAACTATGATATTAACCTAAAACACTTCAGTTTGCAATAGCAAAATCTTTCCGCAGATGATGGGAGTGTATCATCGCAAGTGTATGTTGTCGAGGACTGTGAGAGTTGCCTTTAGCACCCAGCCATGCACTAGAATCTAAAAAACCAAAAATGGAATTGAAACGGTTACGAGAGGCCCGCAGTTCTGTTGCTCGGCCTGTGTGGGTTGGCAGTGGCAATCCCTCCACCTGGTAATAGCTGACGGGTGTGAACAGGAGGAGGAGGCACATGTGTTGGTGGCGTCTGGTCTTGGCAAAAACAAAGCAGTGCTTCATATTTTGCAAGTGGGACTCTTCAGACTTGTTTCTAGAGCCTGCTTCTGTCTGTCCCAGAGGAAAATGCTCTGCTCTACCAGTAAATTCAACCGGTCCGGCTGGGAAAGTGTAAACATGCTGAAATTCTTGACAATAGCTGTGAAATGTGATTTTGCATCACAGAAGCTTGGGATGGAGGGATCTGTTTATCACCAGACTCTCTGCTGTCCTCAGCAAAAACTTGAGGCAGTCTCTCAGCGGAGGGTCCATCCCACAGGATATTTACAGGAGATTGGCAGTTGCATCTGAAACTAGCTGATAGCAAGACTGAATGGCAACAAATTTGAGTGAAGGAATGCAGTCATGGGGCCAGGAGTGCTAGTCCTCCCCCCCTTAAGGTTTTTGAGGAAGTCTGTGACATAGGAAGTTTTTTTACTGCTCCTGTAAGAGAACAGATTCCTGTCTACTGTGACCTTGTTACAGGCCAGTGTGAGGTTTGGTGAAATCTGGCAGTTACACTGCTGTGAGAAAATCTCCCCCAATTAGGTGAAATCAGAAGTTGTGCCCCTGCACGTAGACCAGAGCATTCCACAGCAGGACCTCCCTCCTGAGAAAGCAGCATCTCTCGTGCGTCCCTTTCGAGCTCAGTGGTTAGCATCTAAGACCCCTATTCCCAGGGCTGACTTTGTAAGGAAAAGGCACAAGTTTGCTTCTTGGGAATGACATTTGAAATTATTTTTTATATTTATTTCTAGAATCCCTTAGTCCTACAGGCCTGGGGGTGACAGGAGGCCAAAGCACGGGTTTCTAGCTACGGCGTTGGTGTGTTGGGGCAGAGGAACCCGTCTGGTGAGCGCGTGCCACCGCCGCTGCCTGGGGTCGCGCTGGTTATTCAATTGAAGGGCAGGAATGTGCATGTTCCCAGTACTGGGAACATACCAAGTTACCTATTGCAATTCCCCCATTCTTCTCTGAGTTTACTGGCTTGTTTGTAGGTCAGGATTCAAATTCGGCACCTTCTAGGTGGGATCCAACACTCTGCTTTCTCAGAGGAGGAGGGAAAATACGGAAGAGTAGGGCACACAGTAACTGCAAAGACAAATGCCAGTGCCTGATTTTAAGTCCCTGGGTGGCTTTAGACACAAGGGACTATCTGTGTGCTCTAAGTGAGAAGCATTAGCCAATTCTACACCGAGGTAAGGCCTCGTACTTCGCCCACGGCAGAGCTTTCCCCTCGGTGCAAATGTCTGCTATCAAGGGCGCCTTCTAGCCTGCAGCAGGAGTCCCTCTGAGTGGATTGAATTCATGAATTATATTATTACAGCTGTGAGTGGAAATTGGACGCTCATGAAAGTACTTTGCACAGTACTTTGGCGCCCATGAAAAACTAGCTAGAGCCCTGCAGCCTGACATTTCCCCTTGGAAAGGAACCTGGTTCTTCTTGGGTGTTTTTAAGAGCAAGACAAGAAAAATCTTAGTACTGGTGCACCTCGTGAAAAAATCCCTTATCAGAAAGTGTCTCCTGCATGTTCTGCTCAGATGGAAGCAGGCTATTTTCCCAAATATTTAGTGTTCAAAAGGAGACCGTTTGTTGGAAGCTGGGGGTGGCCCACGTACGTCCCAGTTGGCTGGCTGTCCAGCTAGCCGCTAAAATATACTGTGATTCGAAATGTTAAATGCTTCCGCTAAAAGGCTGGTGGTTGGAAACCACACTTCAAACCGAGGTCATCAGCATCTTCAAACAGCAAACTTCCCCAGTCTCTGGAGAAAAGCTGTTGAACACTTTGTTCGCTTTTAATGAAGCTGACAGTGCAGGGAGAGAACCAACTCTGTTTAATCTACTTCTGATTTACACGGTAGCTAAGAAAATGCTCTGAAAGCAGCCTTTCGTTCAACGGAAATGAAACTTTAGACTATTGAAATGTGCCTAATGCTTTGATTATTTTGGCATAAAATTGATAATTTTTAAAACCTTTTTATTTCAAGCAAAGTTTTAATTGCATCTGCTAAAGGACTGCAATGTACGGTATCTCAAAGGATTGTTATCAGTGTGCTTATGCTTCCAATCTGATCTGTTCTGAATTTCTTAATTGTAGAGGAAGCTACCTTGACTGTACTTATATATATATGTATTTATTTTTAAGTCCAATCGATCATTACCTTTTCAGGAGCACAGATTAGTTGAAGATAGTCCGTGAAAAACTTCATGGTGATAACATGTGGACCTTGCTAGTGGCATAGTGCAGAATCGGCTCCTGAGTTACATCCAGGAAGCTAAAAAAGCAGTAAATACTATCTAAGTATTAACTCTATTTGCAGAGAACTGGAAGTTGTCATCCAGGGTGTGATGTGGTTAGGAGCAGTGGTGGGTCGCTTGGTGAAAGCCTGTGTGAACATCTGATCTAAAAACGTCCCTGGCAGATCTCAGTAGGTTGGTGTCATTGTTGATGCTTGTGAACAACATAAAAAAAAAGCCTCGACCATATTGAACCCCACAAAGCGAAGGTCCCCTTGAAACTTTTTCGGTCAGAACTTACTCCATGAGGAAAGTCTGTTTCCCTGGGGACTATACCAAATCTGCCCATCCTTCGCTTGAGGGGCGGAGGAAATAATGAAACTGAAGAATCTTGATGGTGTAGAAATAGTTGTAAATAGTGCATTTTTAAAGCAAAATGCATTCAACCTGTTTGAAAACACCTTTCCTTTTTGAAAAGCATTGTATTTTCTGCAGAAAAGTAATAAAAGTAGTGTCAAAAGTGAAACTGGAAGAAAACATTCCATTTGACAGTCTCAGAAGAATTTAAGCTCAGCTGAAAAATACTGGCTTACAGAAAAAATTATAATGAAATGTTCTGTTCTAATTCCAAATAGAAAATAGTATTCAAGATTCTAGAATTTATACAACATCTACACAGGATAAGCACAAGGGACGTAGTTTGCAAAAATTAAAGGACAAAACTGATGGAAGATGAGTTCTTAGACGAACTTTTCCCATGCTTTTAAAGGTGAAGGAGGACAATAATAAACCCCTTTGGCTTGGCCTATAAATTAGTGAAATCTGTGGAGCGATTTGCTGACCTTCATGTGTTCTGGCTCAAGTCCTTCAAAAATTTAGAAGCAGTTTTTAATTGAAGATGGAAATAGGCCCTGCAGGACCTTCTTGACCAGGATGTCCACTTTGACTGGAAGGATGAAGGCTAACCTTGAGTTTTGAGTGTAAATAAGCTGAAATTCCAAAGTGTCCCTCAGACTGTTAAGGCACTCCTGCCTGTTTCTGTTCCCTTGTAGGATATCTCCATGTTTTCTTTGGCAGTAATACCGGGTGAAGCCTTTGTTCCCTTTTTTAGGCACAGCCATCCATCTGGGGATTTGTTTTACAGTGTGGCTCCAGTTGAATGACACAACTAAAGGAGACTGTGATCTTCAGAGTGAGGTTGAAAATAGGCGGGTAGTGGTGAGGTGGACTTTTAAGTCTATTTTTTTGCCTCCAGAGAGAGGTTATCACTTGGAAATGGCCTTGAGTTTTTTTTTAAAAAAACCACAAACCAAAAAACCAAAACACCAAAACAAAACCCCAAATAAACAAAAAAACCAAACAAAACAGGTGTTAAATAGAGTGTTTTGAGTCACAAAGAGATGAAGCATTGTGAGCGTTGTGCCGTTACATGTGCGTAATGAACAGGCAGTAGTTACTGTTCATTAAGCGTTATTTGAACGACTACCGTGATCTGAATCGACTTGCAAATGTCCATCGGTAAAATGTGGGATCCTTTTGTGTTTTCCAGGGTGTGCAGACTTGCATCTGCTGGATATGTTGACACCTACCGAAAGAAAAAGGCAGGGATACATCCATGAGCTTATTGTCACGGAAGAGAACTATGTCAATGATCTGCAGTTGGTCACAGAGGTAAGAAGGCACAGCAGCTTTAGGAGCAGCTTGATCACTCATCTCACTTTAAAGTAAATTGGATCAGTAATTTCAGTGTGCAAACTCATATCGCTGCCGTGTGTGACTTCCTAGGGATGATCTGTAGTCAATTTTCATATATCTATATCTGTATCTATAGATATATAGAGGGGTGTGTGTGTATGGGTGTGGGTGCAACTAATGGTAAGCCCTTGTATTACTGTCACCAAAACGCTGACGTTTGAAACATCGTTCTAGTAAACCCTTTTCACGCCTGATGTTGAAGTTCTTAAAGCTTGAAGCACTTTAGGTGCCAGTTTCCACATTTGCAGTGGCACTCAGTTATCACTTACTGTGATTTTCTTTAAATGTTGCAAGGTGTGGCTCTTATGTGGAAAAAAAGGGAATTTCTACAAGCAGCTGATGCAGACAATTCTTTTGACAGAGGGAAGGCCCTTATTTGGAAAAGAGGTTGAGATTTGCAAACCTGAGACACTATGAGACAAATCAGAACTTCCATGAAAGAGTCCAAAGTAAAACGTATTTTAAGTTGTATTATCAAAGTAATCCTGGGGTGTTTTGTTGGACGCCTCTGACTAAAATTCCCAAGTTTCAAACAGATTATCCAGTTTGTAGTTAACACCACCAACACAAATGTACAGTACTCTCTTTCAAAGCCACGCGCCACTCGCCAGCGCGTTACCAGGGAACACTCTGGGGCACAGCGCATGTTTGAAGTCTGTTACACCGAGTGTCAAGAGCTGCTCTGATGTGAAGTTCTCTCACCTCCAGGCTAAGGAAGTGAGCACCATCAGTCTTAGTCACTTTGATTATACTTAACATATACTTTCTAAATTCCTTAATTTTCTGAATCTGTAGATCTTCCAGAAACCACTAATGGAATCTGAGCTGCTAACAGAAAAAGAAGTTGCTATGATTTTTGTTAATTGGAAGGAGCTGATTATGTGCAATATAAAACTACTGAAGTGAGTTGTTTATTTTTTTTTTTCCCCCTCATACTTAGCAATAACAAAATTGTGGGCCTCTCCCCCCGCTTCTCCTTTTAGCTGCATGAAAATATTTGCCACTTATGCAACTAGTAACCTAAAGGGCCGTGCATTTTTCCGTGTTGGAAAAAGCAAAATATTAACAGTGCTGGCTATGAGTTGTTGTTGGGAAAAATCCAGCAGTTCCTTGCTGAGTAAGTATTTGCACTTGCTTTGCTCTCGGTGTACATGCGCTCCAGAAGGCAGGAGCAGCCTCTCCAGTAGTGTGGTGCCCGCCAAGGCACACTCCTGTCGTAGCCTCTTGCTTCTCTGTCTCTGTCACAGCCCCGTGCCCGGTTCCACTCCTGTTACCTGTGGGTGCAGAACAAAGCACAAGCACTTCTGCCTCCCTCATCCTGAGTTAGCCGGTGCATTCCTTTAAGTTGTTGTAGGCTCGTAGCACCTGAACGAGCTCTTTGGTGAGAAGCGGCACCAGCAAAGCCTGTTTTCCTATGGATTTGTGTCCAGTGTACCCTTGCACCCTTCCTTCCAAAGTCTCCAACTGCTGCAACCCCAACTTTGTACCACGAAGCTCCGCACCGTGCGAGTACCCTTATTTCTCCCTTCACTCCGTGGCCTCTGATGGATCCAGTGTTCCTACTCACATCCCTTTCACCTGTCCCTACCGCTTCAGCAAGCCGCAGTAAAGGCTGCGGCTGGTTTGGAAGCATGTGCACGCGGGCTGCTCATCTGGTCATTGCCAGAGAAACTGAGTAAGGATGGAGTTAAACCCGTGCCTTCATGAGCAAGAGGATTAATGAAGTTCCTTTTTTCCCTAGTGAGCTGCTAATCTTTGTTGAACTTAGAGGAATTTTGTAGTCATTTAGGTTGGAAGAGACCCTTAAGACTGAGTCAATAACTTTGAGATATCTTCTTTTTTTTAAAACGTATTTGAAAATGGCACACCCGTTGACAAGTTACGACAGTGATGGGATAAATGCAGGCAGCTCAGTGGCAATAAACCTCCTTTCCTTAGGAAGCCAGGCTAAAAACTGATAGTGGCTTTCAGCTTAAAGCAGCGGTAAGGTTTTTATCCCCCATTCATGCACATATCTGTTACTCTCCAATAGTAAAGGGAATTACATCCCTTTTTCTTTTGTATCTGACCTGGCGTTGCATTGAGTTAACGTCAAATAACAGTTTGATTACCACAAGAGGGAAAAACGTTATTGGCTGAGGATGTGATCTCGACTGTTGTATTCTCACACAATGCAATAAATCTGGTGGCCGATCTGTTTATTATTCAGGGATCTCTTTATTTCAGTAATGAATAAGAATCAAACCATTGATTTCATAAATGAGGAATCATTCTGTAGTGGTCTGCTCATAAAACACACACAACCTTTCCATGTTTAGGGCTTTGCGTGTGCGTAAGAAGATGTCTGGAGAGAAGATGCCAGTGAAAATGATTGGTGACATACTGACCGCCCAGCTGCCACACATGCAGCCGTACATTCGGTTCTGTAGCTGCCAGCTCAACGGGGCAGCGCTCATCCAGCAGAAGACAGACGAAGTCCCCGAGTTCAAGGAGTTTGTTAAAGTAAGAAAAGAAGCGATCACCGTGAATGTTGTACACCGTAAATTTAGCTCGTCGTGTTGCCAGTTTGCAAAAGCTGGTTTCAAATAGTGGTCTGTGTTGGGCTGGGTTGAAGAATCTTCAGACCTGAGCAGTCACTGAAGGAGTACACATTTTCATTGAAGGAATATGTTTTTTCAAACAACTGTAGAGCCGTAAAATACTTTGTTTAAGCATGGACAGTAAGAAGAGGCCCTTCTCCCGTACAGGCAAGGCAGGTGAAGAATATGCTGTAAAAGATGTAAGAAATTCCACTGCACTGGTGCACTCTGTGATCTAAGAACAGATTTAGCTGAGGCACGGTGTTCATTTTGTTGCCTTACCTTTTTCTTTCTTGGAGGAGCTCATTTTGCAGGGTTTTAAACAAACTGACTAACACCGTTTTACCTCTCTAATGTTTCAGAGGTTAGCAATGGATCCTCGCTGTAAAGGAATGCCACTATCAAGTTTTCTACTAAAGCCTATGCAACGGGTAACAAGATACCCACTAATAATTAAAAATGTACGTTCTTTTGCAAAGATGATGTTTCTGATGCTGCTTTGCCTGTAGCTTAGTTACGGGGTAGTTTCCCTATTTGTGTCAAGCTTTGTCACTGTTAGCTGTCTGATGTGCTAGGGAATGTGGGTTATCCTTTTATATTGGATCACACTAGAGCAACTGCGGTCACTCTTTTGGCTTCAGCTCAGTGACTCTGGATTTCCATTAGAAGCAGAGGTGAAACTTGCACACGCACAACCAGAAGGCAGTAAATGCTGAACGGAGACTTTAAAATTCAGATAACGGGAGTAACGAGTCAGTCTTAGGCTCATCTTTGCCATTTTCCACAGTGACATTCCCTCCCCACAGTCTCGTAAGTGACATTCGGCGTGCAAGCCTGAGTGCCAGGTTGGTGCCAGTCACCTCACTGCGCAGCTTTCGTTGCTGGATGACTTACAGCCCTTTCCTAACTTTCGGTTGCTGCCTGACGCTTGCCATCCTCAATAATGTCATTGAACTTGGCCCAAGACTTTCACAGGAAAGAATTATACATTGGATGCTGGCATTTAAGAGATTCCTTAAGCAGTTGACCGATAGATTTCTGTGTATGGCTGGGATGTGCACGCTCGTGTCGGGAGAGCGAGCGGTGTACTGATGGGAGGGCTCTGCAGGCAGGTGTTCACTTCAGCTCTTCACAGGATGTGCGTTTGTCTTCTGTGTTTCGTGTTTGTCAAGGAGGAAAAGAAAATTGAAATGCACTGGCTGGGTCCAGTGAAAACGAAGAAATAAAACAGAAGCGTAGGGCTGACAGCGTAAATACGTTCTAACTGGAGGTAACGGAGAAGGCTAACGCATTTTGTTTATCTGTAGATAATAGAAAACACTCCTGAAAACCACCCAGACCACAGTCACTTGAAGCATGCTCTTGAGAAAGCAGAAGAATTGTGTTCTCAAGTAAATGAAGGAGTGCGGGAGAAGGAAAACTCAGATAGGCTGGAGTGGATCCAGGCTCATGTTCAGTGCGAAGGCCTGTCAGAGGTAAAAATCATGTTCTGTCTAGGGCAACGCAAACACGGGCGTGCTTCGCCGCCGGTCGGGGAGAAACCCCGGCTCACTCACGGCACTGCATTAGGGGACAGACAGTGTCATTACTCAAGCCATAGACTCTTCAACCCTTGGTTTTCATCTTTCTTTGGCTCCCTTTCACTACCGCTCGTAATCCTTTTTGCTGCTTGTTGTTATTGCCTTCCGTGTGATAAATGCTGCTTTTGTTGCCGGCCTCTGGACTGGCCCCTGGTTCAGTGCTGCTGTTACCAACCACAACTTTCCGGTTTCGTAGCTCTTTATGATACCCAAGATAGGCTGTATCTCATCCCTGAGCTATACCTGACCCTCCTGGAGTGCTTTAGTCGCAGGAAATACTGTTTAGGATAAAACTTTGCCTGCGTTTTGGAAAGTCAAGAACACTGATCAAGTCTCTCTCAAGACTTGGCGGAGAGAATCACTGCCTCCGTCGCGCATTATTTTCTGGGGTAAATTTTCTGGGGTAATGTGCTAAGCTTCCCTGCTGAAACAGTAGAGAAAACGTTGTGTTGGTATGTCCTGCAAAGAGATGGAGGATGTTTTGATGGCCTCCCTGTTACTGGTGAAGATCATAGAGGCAGACAGATCACAACTTGATTTTCAAAGTATGTGTTGAGTTTTCAGTTCTAGAAGATTTTTTCTTTTTTTTTTTTTTTTAAAAAAAAGCACTGGTTGGTTTAATAACCGGAAATCATTGCATTTCCTCTTATGAAACCACCTGTTTCAGAAAGACAGATACCGCAGTTTCAGAAGGGTCAAAGTCACGTTCAGCTGTCTTATAACTACTGCCTGAAAGAAGGTGGCTATACATGGTATCTGGCCCTAGAACGCCAAAAATATTACCTGAAAGACCAACTGCCTGCTCGCTGACACAGTAACACCGGCAGCAACCTTGAGTCAGTGGCAAGCAGTGGTCCGGCCCTCCCCCAGTTTTCTGACGGAGATGCTTCTGATCTGTAAAAGGAGCCACTCCAGTTGTAGCTTCCTGGCCAAGCAGGCTGGAAAGAACCATGCTGTCACCTAGGGAAAATAAATTTAAGGCTCCAGATGGGTCTTAAGTTCTGCCAGTTCCAGCCACCAGTGAGCAACTCTCCTCTAACTCCAGGTATCCTGGGTGCACAAAGGCAGGCTGTCTGGAGTTCCTTTGGTATGTTTTAGCAGTGACATTCAAACACAATTCAGAAATCCAGGCCTTGTTAAGGAAGCTCAGCATTTGGAGAGGCCGTTTGCATAACTACTGCTCCCCCAGGACAAGTCAGCACCGGCTCAGTCCCGCTGGCAGAGATGCATGCGCGTGGCAGAGACACACGAAAGGAGGCACAAACGCTTTTGGCTTCTCTTTGGCTGCCCAGGCCATGCCTCTGCAGCTGACGGGCTGCCCTGAAGTTAATCCTCGTGTAGCATTTCTGTGACTCGCACTGCTTATCATGCGCAAGGCAGAGACATCGATCATCATCCCTGTGACGCAAGTGAAAACCAATGTCAGGACTCAAAACTGTATTTGATCTCTTTCAGGGGAACCTCGATTGTTTTACTTTATACAGTGCGTTGTTGTTCTTCTTCTACTTTTCGCAGCAACTTGTGTTTAATTCTGTTACAAACTGCTTGGGACCACGCAAGTTTCTGCACAGTGGGAAACTCTATAAAGCCAAGAGTAACAAGGAACTGTATGGCTTTCTGTTCAACGATTTCCTCCTCCTGACTCAGATCATAAAACCTCTTGGCTCTTCCGGCACGGACAAGGTCTTCAGCCCCAAGTCTAATCTGCAATACAAAATGTACAAAACTGTAAGTACCGCTCT